TTGGTTTGCACAGTTTTTCCCAAGAAACCCAAGAGATCTTTCTTTTTTTATCACCACTGCTCCACCAGAACTCGATAATCGCACTCGTGATTCTTTCACAGAGGCCTTTTGGTAACCTAAAAACCGACATCGCATAAATTGGGAGGGCTAGAGCAACCGATTTTATCAAAACCTCCTTTGCCCCCATCGACAGTGTTTTTGTTCTTACAAAAAGTTTTCATATTGAATTTATGTTCTATGGGGTTTAATTTGACAAAAAGATAATAAATGCTAAAGTTAGAACTCTGTAGTTTTTTACTGGTATTAAAGTGTAATTAAGTGACAATTATAGTTTATAATTGATTTAGAAAAAGATTTAAAATTTGGAAAAGACAAAATATATATTTAAAAATAGATTTATTTAATATTTCAGTGGCATAAATTTATAATTGCATGATAGATTGTTGAATTTTTTTATTTGCATTTCTCTTTCAATATGGATAACTCTTTGTTTGGGAACCCGCGGACAATTCGCAGAGCGGGGTTGGACTGGACCTGCAAGAGAACTTGCTTATATTTTCTTTTTATTTAGAGATGTCTGAGAGAAAGTTGTTTCCTCTTTAATTTTGTTTCATAATTTTTTACTTCAGACCACCTCCAAAGATGAGCTCATAGCTTCCATAATTTGCATTGGCAAGTGCATTGACAGCCTCGAGAGTGCTTTAGCTAAAAACAGGGTGTTGATAGATCATAGAGTGAATCCACCTATGTTGGTTAGCATATCTAAAGATTTGACCACTGATAAATTAAGGTCAAATGCCATGCTCCTCCTGAACCATTTCAAAGAACATACCCTCCAGTACTTTGTTAATGCTTTCGTCCCTCCTGTTACTGCACCAGATGATGAAGTTGTGCACAAGTTTGCTATCTTCAGGTCCCATCTCGAAAAATGCGAGTCTCTCTTTGACGGGGTCGTGATGTAAGGTTATGGTTGCGAGACATCTTCTGAAGATGATGAAGCTTCTAACTAGTTTACCTTATCATGTTGGATATGCTTACCTACCTATGTTTTTTTTTTAATGTTATTGCTGGATCAATAAGTTTATTAAGTGGATTTTGACACCTAATGATGTATGTGTCAAGTAATAAAGTTACTCCTTTTTATATATCCACTCTAATTAATGGAAATGTGTTATTTTAATGTCTGATTTGATTCAAGTGATTTCTCTCCGGTCTAACTTCCTTCATACAATACATTTACACACACACACACACACACACACTAAACTGGGTAAGAACTTAATAATCCAAGAAGAGGGTCTCATGTTCTTGTCACATTACATCGGAGATGTTCACACCTTTTGTCATTCAGATGAATCATATCAGAACAAGTCATTTCTCTGAGTTATTTATGTAATTTAAGCAGCCCTTGCATGTGTTTTGTTTCCTCTGGGACGATGAAGGTGGACACACGATAACATGATAATTGAGTCTGCTCTTTAAACATCCACTAATGATTCAAACCAATCTTACGTTAAGAACTTACTTTCTTTATGGAGCTCCAGTGCGCATGTACGTTCTAACTAATCAACATACATTGATCTATTCCTGTCTGAATATTAGCATGGCTGGTCAAATGATTTTCCATCGTTGGGAATCATGTAAAATTAACCAAACCGCCTGTCCAAATCCGTAAGCTATATATATATATATATATATCCTTTTATGTGAAAAATTATTGGTGAGTGTTGCAAATCTTCAAGGAAGGAAACGTAGTGATGTGTGATTCAAGTAACTACAGTTCATATCAACAGCAAGAAAGTGGGAAACATTCATAATAAGTTTTAATTATGTATTGTAAAAGAGAAAGTGGCAACTTGTTGGATATGAATCTGTTAAGAGCGAACCAGAAAGTAATATCAATAATTTGTTAGAGACATGAAATCATAGGATTAAGGAATGTATTATGTGAGGTGAGAAGAATCTCTAGCTTAACATTTAGGATCGTTTGAAGAAAGCTCTTGACAAAAGAGAGGAATGCTCATGACTATAGGGAGAGTTTCACAATGTGGTTGTTAACAGGTGACACCAGAAAGCATGCATCACAATATGGATCAAGACCATAGAAAAAAAAAAACACAATTGAGAAGGCTGCGAAGATGCTACTTGTAAGGCTACTAATGTAGACATTCTAGCAAGGTTTGATGAACATTAATCAGAACAGGAATAGATTACAACACAAGCAACCCCAATTTATTTTAGCAAGCAAAAAAAGTCTAGATAGTAACTTAAAACCAGAACAAACTCCATAACAAAGTTTTTTTTAGTGATATTCATTCCTTGATTTGTAGATGTTGGAAGCTATTCTCCAGTGGAGGCGTCTTAGCTTTGGTTGATGATCCAAAGATTTGGTCGAACCTAACAATTAAATCTTTGCCATTTAATACCCTTTTTTCCATCACAAAGCATGGTTTGGGACTTTTCTTGAACCTATCCATGGCAGCTTGGGCACGCATCTTCTTCAACAGCTCAGGTTTGCCTCTCACAAAGTACTGCTTGTGTCCGAATTCCAAGCGCTCAGAGCCCTCAATTCTTACAAAACCCTACGTAACCAACAAAGAGAAACTTAGATTCAAAACTGCAAAACAAGGACTAGTGGGTGATACATAATACACGAAATTACTTACGTATGTGTCAAGGGCGTTGATAAAATTCGACAAATTGCCGCGAAAGAAACTCGAAAGAATCTTTTTCTCGAATAGCTCTTCCGGGTCCCAGATCACAAAACTCTTGTTGCTTTTGCTCCATGAGATTACTGAATCTACTGATGGATCATCCACCACCTCATAGACACCGACGTAGAATGGATACATCCCACTCGTCCCCATCGCTCTTCAAACCCTAAATGAACGTGAAAGATAAAACCAAGGGGCTGAAAAAGTAATCCCAGAGTTGGAGACCAAACCCCTATAAAAAGGACAGAAGCGTGTGGACCCCTATACATTATCTTATGCCTTTGGGCTATTTTGGGCTTTTGCATTCTCAATTTTTATAATTCCAACTAGTGTGTTTTAACCGGGGACTGGACCAGATTAAACCTTTTGATGGATTACAAATTCCAAATAAAATTGAATCAGTGAAACCGGATTTGTTTGTCGCCCGATAAACCAAACACCATATTTACCAACTAATTTTCATTGTTTTCAACTAATATAATACTAGAACTTGATCCGTACACCCGTACGTATGTTTACTTTAGCTTAATATAAATTAATATCTTATGTAGATTTCCGTAGTATATATTCTTACCATTCACATATATATTAAATTTTTGTGAAATATGATATTTATACACAAAACAAACTTGTTGATTATACGATGTAATTTTATTTATTTCATCTAACCATCAATTGCATTACATGTTTATTTAGTCTTATTAGTTTTTCTTGGACTTATATGTATATAAGAATATGCATGAAATAAATATTTAAACAGAATTTTGTATTTAAATATATATTAAAATTGATTATTATCATTTAGTATATACTAATTCCTACATTTGTGGTGTTGGGTGATATTTTTAATCAAATTAATCAAAATTATCTAAAACTTTTACTTTACCATTTTTAGCCTGCTATTTTTATCATTCAATTATGTAAAAAACTGGGTAAATAGTCAGTAAATTTTTAGAGCCAAATTAATTTTAGTTATTTTTGTATTCAAACTACCCAAATGTACCTAAAATTAACCAAATAAAAAAATATCTAAATTATCCAATCGAGTAATTTAATGAAACATTACCAACAATTACTCTTTCACGGATCTGAAACCTTCAAGCTTCCAATCTCACATCATTCTCACATGTAGAAAATAATTCCAATGGAAAAGATGATTTCAACCATTAATAAAGTACCGCTCACACATCTTAGTTGTATAATGAAAAAAAAGATTTCAATAGTAAAGTGTTATATGTGGTGTATGAAACGAGTCATCAAGAAAAATCTATAGAAAATGAGTTTTTTGATTTTCAAACTAAGAAGTAGTCTCAATATAGTTTTTGAAAAAGGGCATTCAATTTAAAAACAAAGATACAGGATGTGACTTGTTAGATCACATAGTTTGGTAAAGTTGATACATAAAGTAAGCAATGAAAAAAAGCTCCTAACACAAAGATGAATCTAGTAGAGCTTTTTTAGTACAAACCAAAATAAGAAAGACATTTGAGCTTTTGGGGAGAGAGTACAAACCAAAGTAAGAGAGTACAAACCAAAGTAGTCTCAATATAGTTGTCGCGATGAGACATTAATGATGAATAAAGCTCGTAACGGACACAGATTGTTGGGGAATGTACATGTTACATGCACGAATCCATGTATGTTCAGTCGAACGGTGGAAGTTTCTTTTCGATCGATGGATGCAATGGTTGAATGATCGATGGAACTAGTATGCAACACGGAACAAGAAAAAATCAATACAAATAGAACAAAGATGAAAATGAAGATCAACAAGGAGGACGATGATAAAACTGAGATGAGCTAGCCGGTTGTGGATTGATTGTTGATGGATAGTATGAGACATATGCGAATGAAAATTTCAGAAACCCTTTTATATTGATTTTTTTTTTTTGGTTTGTAACACAGATTCTACCCATATAATCTAATCTATTAAAATTGAAGTACAATTACTATATGAATTAAATTTAGCTGATATAAAACGACTTCAAACCCATGAAAATGGTGAGTTCTTCCTTTTGATTGTGTCTACACGATAAAACCAGCAAGAAAACAGTGAGTTTCTTCACAATGATGAGTTTCTGTTCTGCCTTTCTGATATTTTAAATTTCACAAATGTTTAACTGCGTTCTGTGGTTAATTTCAAGTGGTCCATACTAAAGATTCAATTCATATGTTAGGTTAGCATCTTCAAGCTAACAAGCCTACCAAACATTCCAAAGTTTGAATAACAAGTGTTTTTCAAAAAAAAAAAAAGTTTCAGTTTCAAAATATTTTCAACTGTCTAAATTAGTGCTTTTAGTTCAACATGTTAGAAAATGGATTACATCAATCTTGATTTACTTGTTAGAAAATAGATTATGTTATGGTCGAAGGGGACTAGTTTTGATTTGTAAAACTATTTTTAGATTGATTTGTTTTTTTCATTTTAATCATGTATATGTTTTTATGAAAATCATTTGGCAGCGAAATAACGTATATTAATCTTATTCTACTACTAATTAATATTAATTTTCAAAATTTTCTTAGTTTAGGTAAATACCTTAATTATATATGTGAATTATTTTTAAAATAATATATATAGATTATAACATATGGTTCAATCTTCTCACAAAATCTATAAAACATTTATTCTCATTATTTGTACTTGATGTACAAGGCGAAACAATTCACAACCCAAAAAAAAGAAGCAAATATTTTGCAGATGAGACATACATGGTTGATCCTAAAATCCAACTACATTCCCTTTTTCTAAGACAAAACCAAAAGAAGATAGTTTCTTTTTAAAACATATTAAAAATCAGATTCTTTCCTTAAATTAACTTTCTCCCTTTTAAGTTTTCTTGCAAAACACAATTCAAAATCTGTCTTACTAGCATTCTTCAAGCAAAACCTCTTTGTTAATTAATTGGTGGTGCAAATAAATAGGAAAAGCAATATTAGTTAGTATTTTATTTACTATTTCTCTCGATTATTCTTAAGATAACTACTTGTGAGTTTTCAGTTACGGCGCGACCCCTCTTGCGAGTCAAGTAATTGAGTAAAATCTCTTTATTAACTTAATTGGATGATTTCTTGAAGCTTCTGAAGATATACCCTTTTATAGTTTTATCCGTATCATCTCTGTAACGTCCTTCTTCTTACTCTTATTTTCATCGTCTTGGCGTTTCACGTGTTAGATTGCTTCTGGGTCTATCCTTTGTTCGTTTAACAGTTGTAAGGTTGTCTCGTCTTTGAGGTTTTCTCTGATAAACAAAACACAAAGCAAAGAAACAGAGTCTTTCTTTCTTTCATTGTCTTCTTCTTTGCGCATAGGAATATTCGATAAAGTTAATGTAAGAATTCTCGTCTCCTTTCTTTTCGTTTTTCTTTTTGATGTATTTCACAAAACCATGACTCTAAGCCATCAAAGTTTATTTTGTATTTAATGTGATTTGAGAAGAAGAGAATGACTTAGATGAAGTTTCTTTCTCTTTTATGAAGCTTGAAAGAAGTTAGGTTTGAGAGGAAGAACTAAAACCATTCGTCACAGAAGATAGAGAGACTCATGAACATCATGTCTTACCAGAATCAGGCAGAGGGTTTTGTTAAACGCTATCTGTTAGCAGATCCATTGCTTCCTTATACTTCTGTTCTTACTGGAATCTTTCTCTGCAAAATGGTAAATTGCAAACTCTGTTTTATCTCTCTGTTTTGAACACTGTAGCTTAAGCTCTTATCGATGATAGGTCTATGATCTTACGGATTCATTCAGCTTTATTCATATCAAATCATACTCAGCTGTCACAAAAATGAAGAGAATTGAATGGAACAACAGGTAATAGATATGCTTTTTTGTTCAGTCTATGTTGTGTTCTTGGTCTCTTATCACTTTGGCTTATGATATATATCTTTGGCAGGGGAATTTCTACAGTCCATGCGATATTTATCTCATTGATGTCACTCTACTTTGTGTTCTTCTCTGATTTTTTTTCTAACCAAACAACTCTTCAAGGCCTTATGGTGTTTCGTAGCTCACCTCTTTCTAACTTTGGTTTAGGAGTAAGTTCTCATCTTGTTTCATTTCTCATTGTAAAAACCATCCTGATGAGAAATGGTGATGTAGGTATCAGTTGGTTACTTTGTTGCTGATCTTGGAATGATCATTTGGCTTTACCCTTCTTTAGGGGGATTTGAATATGTAAGTAGTAGACACAAGAAAGCTTTTGTGTTCTTTCCATTGGTTTTGAATTAATCTTTTGATGTTTTTACTTTATAGATTTTCCATCACAGCTTATCTGGTGTAGCAGTAGCGTATTCTCTCTTCTCTGGAGAGGCTCAGCTTTACACATACATGGTTTTGATCTCTGAATTGACTACACCGTCTATCAATCTTAGATGGTACCTTGACACTGCTGGTTTGAAGCGGTCTAAAGCTTATCTTATTAATGGAGTTGCTATTTTCTTGGCTTGGTTGGTGAGTTTTTGTAGACATTGTTAATTTGTTTGGAATCTGTAAAAATGTCTTACAACTTCATGTTTTTTTTGTTTGCAGACAGCAAGAATACTTCTGTTCATCTACTTGTTTTACCATGTCTACATGCACTATGATCAGGTAACTATAAATTTCGGTTTAATTCTTTCTAAACCAAACTGGTTTGTAAACCAAATGGTTTAGCTTGACACTTTGATTTTGCTGTTGGTTCTGGTTAATGTTAGCGGTAATGAATCAATTATCTATGGGAAATTTTGGCAGGTGGTAGAGATGAATACATTCGGTTATCTACTGGTTTTCGTTGTACCAACTGCGTTGAGTGTAATGAACTTGATGTGGTTTGGTAAGATAGTGAAGGGATTGAAGAAAACACTTGAGAAAAGACAGTGAAGCAAGATCCTTTTGTTGAATGTAAATATAAAGCTCTTATGAAGAAAATGTTTTAAAGCTTCGATCGAAAGCAAGAAAGTTTTTACTTTTAGCTTAAACATTAATTATGTCTAAAAAGATCTCAAATTTACTTCAGAAAACAGAATCTTATTATTACCACAGTTGTCACTCTCTCTGTCTCTTTATTTGTATTAGCTCATGTAATCCCATGCAAACAAAACTTCTGGTATAGCTTACACATGGCCGGCCTGAAATTTATGGATCAGTGGATGCAATTCACTGACTTTCTTCTAAATTAGTTTAGTTATTTACTAATACGTAAAATCCCAATGAACCATAGGAAAACAAATGCAAAAAGCTCAATAATAGGCCCAAAGACATAAGATATGGATGGTTCATTCACACGTTGAAGGAGTTTAGGGCTTGAAGCGATTACGGGGATGTATCAGTTCCACGCCACCGTATACGAGGTTGTGGATGATCCTACATTGGATTCAGTAATCTCATGGAGCAAAAGCAACAAGAGTTTTGTCATCTGGAATCCTCAAGAGCTAATCGAAAGAAGTATTGTTTCGAGATTCTTCTGCAGAGAGTTGTCACAGTTTATCTCCGACGTTGAACTTTTTGTAAGCACCTTAAGTATATCTATCATGTGTATATTCTTGGATCATTGTTAATGTATATGTGTGTTTTGTTAATTGTTTGGGTTTAGGGATTTAGAAGAGTCAAAGGGTCTAAGCACTTGAAGTTTACGAATGCTAATTTCGTGAGAGGTCAACCAGATCTCTTGAAGAAGATGCAGAGCGAGACTTCCTTTGCTAGGTTTAAGAAGAGAAGAAGAGCAGCCAGAGCTAAAGCCCAAGTTGAAGAACGCTTGCAACGTTTACAAATCTGAACCTATCATGCTTGATCAATGCTCTTGTCTTCCCTGACTTTCTTGTTTTGTAAGCTAACTGCATGTTTCATACATACAATGGTTATAAAATTGTAATCTCACTCTCTTAACATAGATCCTTTGTGATCCAGGTCTTGTTGTCTGCATTCTCCTAATTGGAAGGCTAGAGATTGTATCTTAGCAGCAATAAAGGTTTTTTTTTTTAATGAAATTCAACAGAACCGATTTTGGTTTTAATTGATCAAATAGAGTGAGAATCTGTTAAATTAATTTTATAGATCACTGGAAAACGTCTCTAGAGATCTCTGTATTTAACACATGTTTCTAATCATAAAATAAATAAATTAAAACAAGTATACGAAGAGCAAAAATTTCAACCATGGAGAGTCACATTGGACAGACTTATCACAACGTTTTGAAGAGAGGGCTGATGATGGCTGTTCTCCTTCTCCATGGCCCACTCAATCCTCTGCAATAACGTCAGATTAAGAGTCAAGTATCTATCCACATGAAGAGTCTTGACAGAGAGATATTAGATAAGAGTGCAACTGTGCAACATATAAGGCCTTACCAAGCGGCGTCCGTAGAAATGAGTGCTCGAAAATGCTTCCTTCGCGTTTGAAGCTTCTTGCTTTGTCATGAATTCTACAAAAGCATAGCGTACTGTCATATGTTCCTCTTTGGAAACCTCAGACACAAAACAATCTTAAACAAAAACACACATACAAGACCACCAAAACATCAGCAAGTGCACTGTTGTTACGTGTCCTCATTATATAGGTGAAGGAGCTTAGGGTTCAGATGATCCAAAATTACTAAGATACCTTTTTTAGGGTTTTGTATTTAAACGTGGGCTTTACGTTAGGGCTTAGCGTTTGTTGGGTTTGGACTATGATACTCTGTAATGTCTCCACTCTTAGAAACGATGCTCTTCATTTCCCACTTCTCTAACCTCCGTCCTACAGTATTCTTGCCTCCCTGAGATCTTGAGAGCAACTCTATCCATTTGTGTTTCATTTCATATCGTATGAACCAGGTTTAAAGCTTAGGAAACAATCAATACATGATTCAGACAGACCAAAATCAAGCAACAAAACATGTCTTCTTTTAGATCCCCTGATGCAGGAACCAAACCTTTTGGCCTTCATTGAGGAGTGACTTGAAAGTTTTGGAAATTCAAGAGAACCGGTTTTGAAAGTTTTCACGGATGAAGGAAGAAAAACAAAATGAGAATCGACCCTGTCAGATTCAGTAAAGTGAATTTTATAGAACGGAAAAAGGTTTCAAGAAATTATATATAATATCTTAACACATTTCTCTCTCTAAAACCAAATAAATTAAAACAAGCAGATGAAGCCATTACAGAGCAAAACTTCAACAATGGAGAAACACAGTGGACATACTTATCACACCACCATGGTTCAACACAAAACTTTTTTAACAGAGGGGTGTGGCTATTCAGCTGTTCTCCTTCTCTTTGGAGCATTGTTTTCCTCATACTTAGCAGCAGAACGACGCCTCTTCTCTTCCATGCTATCATCATCTTTGGCCCACTCAATCACCTGCAATGTCGGGTAGATTAAGAGTCAAGTACGCATCCACATGAAGAGTTTTGACAGAGAGATAAGAGTGCAACATAAGGCTTTACCAAATGGCGTCCGTAAAAATGGGTGCTAGACAATGCTTTTTTAGCATTTGAAGCTTCTTGCTTTGTCATGAATTCTACAAAACCATAACCTGCGTACTGTCCTATGTTCCTCTTTGGAAGCCTGAGACCCTTTATCTGCGCATCAACAAAAAGAAACATGAATGATTGTGGTTTGTTGTAACGAAAAGAATCTTTAAACTGAAACACGCATCAGACCAAAGCTTAAGCTTACCTGTCCAAATGGACTGAAAAGCTGTCTTAGTTCCTTCTCCGTTGCCTCAAAAGCTATATTTTTCACATGTAACTTTGTTGACATTTTCTCTGAGACTTTGGCAACCGTGTCTCTCCGCTTGTGTTCAGTAAACCTCAACTGCAAAGGATGCCCATGCAGAGAAGTTCCCTGAGAAAATTAAACAGAAAAATGTCACTGTCCATCGTCGATTCGAATCCAATCAACTTTTAAAAGAGACTTAAGTATTATATTATACCTGTAGATCTCTAATGACACTGGTGGCTGTCTCTACAGAGTCGAATTCGACAAAACCATAACCCCTTGAAACATTCTTCCCATTCTTTACGTGCTTTGGTATCTGCTTATGATAGATTTTAATTTAAAAAAAAATTATTAAAAACAGACGCAATAGTGAAGTGCACATCATTCATAACTTACATTCACACTCAGAATCTTTCCGTGCTTCACCAAGGCTTCCAAATGCTTCTTCAAACTCTCATCAGTTGTCTTGAAGCTCAGATCCTTAATATGAAGGACATTTGACTGAAATATAATGCAACAAGGAAACGTTACAAACAAGAATATTTCAAAAGATACGTATGTAATTTTTTCGTCTACATAATGGATAGAAAAATCAGATCTTCAAAGCCAATGGGAAGACAATGGGAACAGAGATTATACAGTACCTAGCCTGAGCCTCTCAAGATATTACTTAAATAAACTCATCAAGACTTTTTTAACTATCTTTCCACGTCGGAACTCAATACCACCCAATACTGACGAGCATATGATATGATACCGTACACAGATATCATAGCTGGACATACCTCAGTTACGTCAGGATCAATATTAATCTCCTGCTCTAAGTTAACTCTTCTCATATCATTTACCCCAGCATCACTCTTCTCTTCATTGTTCTCACGAACTGTTTTTGGCTCAAGAATATCTTCGGGAGCCCACTCGAGATACAGGGGAGCATCTCTGCAATAAGAATAAGAAACTTAATAAAACAGTTTGGATTCACTATTGCATGACTATTTATACCCAAGAAGCACTTAAGGGAAAGAATGTGCATTACAAATATTTAGATTGAAACAATTATCACTTTACTGTACTTCTCTTGTTGGTTTAATAAAAATCAAATTTAATGCTTAAGCTTACTTGTAACGCTTGTACGCCATCTTCTGAATAGCTGTACGTGCATCCGTCGGTTCAAGGAAAACAACCTAGAGGTCATGTAAGAAAGGGTTAGAGAACAAGTAACTATTCATTGAAGATACTTGAAGTAAACACACAGAAAAAGATAAAAAATACCAAGGCCATCGTCTTCGTTGGAGGGAGAATAATTTTTTCAATTCCAAACTTCCCGAACATTTGTGCCAGTTCCTTTTCAGTGGAAGCAAATGGCAAATTCTTAACTAAGAGAATATGTTTGCTTCGGCTCTTCTCACCACCTTTCCCTGTAGCGAACTCTTCCAAAGAAGTAACATTTACTCCAGCTTTAGCAAGGGCTTCTTTGGTCTCCGCAATCACTTTTGTTTCTGCCAGAGCAAGGCGTACGGCAGGATCATCAGCTTCACGGTCGAGTAGCTCGCTCTTGCTGACACCATACATCCTGACTGTGTTTTCTAGAATCTACAACAACAAAAAGGGGGCAAAACATTAAGAAAAGCAAAAAATGGAGATAATCAAACGTTCTTGAAAACATACAGTGTCCTGTCGCATGAACAAACTATTCCAAGCCTTTGTGTTTCCACCAGCTTCAGACGCCTTTCTTGCTTCCTCCTTCTTTTGTTTGAATGTTTTAGGCAGATTAGAAGTGTCATCCCTGTTGAGAAAAGCCAATGTAATTGGTAAACAACTAATGAAAGTTCGAAGACAGAAACTTAGAAAGGGTCAGGCCACTGACATTTGTTTATCAGACGTTAGACGAGGCTTGGATGGCATAACATGAAGCAACCTCCCCTGGAAAAAATCATTATCTAATACCTCCATTGCCCTGTAGCACAGTACAAATAAATCAAAACCTGTACTAAAACATGTAAACATCAATAAAAGGCTAAGTATTGGTATATATAATAATACCTTGCTGCATCTTCCGGAACCTGGTAGAGGATGTAGGCAACTCCTTTGGACCTTTTTGTCTCTCTGTCAAGAACAAGATGGACCTCTGATATCTCACCGTATGGCTTAAAATGTTCCCTAAGCTCTTCTTCCCTGTTTATTAAGAACAATCAAAGATGTAAAAGATGAACAACAGAATGATAAAACATAAAACAGAAGATGAACAAAGACGATCCAGTACGTTGTAGTGTAAGGCAGGTTCCGGACGAAAAGGCGACCAGTCTGGAGAACATCATCACTGTCAGCTTTTGAATCTTGAGCCATCTTGTCATCTTCTTCTTTTTCTACCTCCATGGCATCGTCATCGCCATCGTTCTCAACGGGAAAGAGACCAACATCACCATCATGACCCTCAGCTTCACCATCATGACCCTCAGCTTCACCATCATCATCATCATCATCATCAGCTTCATCTTCATCACTACCAGATTCACTATCACTGTCCGAATCAGACAAGTTTTTCTTCACCCTACTCTTGAAGTATTCCAAATCATCAACATCATCAGTGGGAGCAACAACACTCCTCTTTTTACTCTTCTTGTCAGAATCTGATGACATCTTCCCATCACTGGAAACCACTGGCTCATCATCAGCTTTCTTCACCAAGACCTTCTCTTTCTTAGCTACTTTAACGGATGGAGCAACGGACGTGTCATTAGACCATATCTTCGACTTACCCCTAAGCATAACGTCAAGAAACTCCTCGCGCATAGGATCATCAACCTCTTGTTCCTTCTTACTCTTTTTTTTGTTCTTTTCACTGTCCTCTTTGAGCTTCTCTTCTACTTTCTTGAGTGAATGACGACTCCATGGACGGGGAGCGTTCTCGTCTCCAACTCTACGAGCAATCTAATAAATTTAAAAACAAGAAACTTAAGTTACACTCGAAACTAGCACACAAGTGGAAAAAAAAACAATAGTCTCAAAAGTTGTTTTAAGCAGCGCAAACCTCAACAGAGATACGGAAAGTATCAAGGTAAGAGTTGTTGAAGTACTTAATAGCTTCTTGAGCTTCTTGTTCACTACGGAACCCAATAAAAGCCATTTGTCTACTTTTACCGTTTTCCCTACAAAGTAGTAAACAGAAAACGATTAAAACGTGAAAAAAACACAAGTTTAGTTTGTGAAATCAAGCGACTTTGAATATAGAAGTATAGTATTACTTGGAACGCAATAACTTAGCGTCTGTGATTTCTCCTTTTTTAGAGAAAACATCTCGAAGTCGAGCTTCTGCCACTTCTTTAGGCAGATTCTTCACACAAATCCTCGACCTGGAATAAACAAAAGCACGAAAAAAGAAGATTGAGTTAACTTAGTTTCTGCGAAATATATGAAAGAACAGTTTGCAGGAACATAAGACTTACATCCTTTGGTTTTTGCAATAGTAAGAGCTAGTTGTGAGAATTTTAGACACCAAAGAGGGACTTAAAACTAGGGTTTCTAAGAGACGAAGAATAAGACTTTTATCCTTTTTGCAATGTTTCTGGAGACTCTTGTGTCGGAACGATTAAATCAGCCGCCGCGACTACGGAGAGATGAAGTACAAGGGGGAAGACAGAGAGGGTTTTTAGGTCTTTTGCTGTTCCTTCTTTAGGTCGGCTTTCTACATTTTATTTAGAACCGAACCGGTCCGGTCCCAAAAACCAGAATAAATTGTATAAACATCCGAATCGTTAGTTTTTTTTATTAATGAACAAACCAAACCGAATCCCAATTGTACAACCAAGAACTTGTAGTCGAACAAAAAAGAGACCTTCTGAGTTTTTTTTTCAGATGTGTTCTCGATTTGATTAACCAATCTGCTCTTAATTTTAAAGCTAGTCCACCTGAATTTGTGGCTTAACCGGTTTGGTCACCACCACAAATTGACAATTGGAACAAAGGTTAGGCCAATGTACCTAACCAAAAATACAACATTGATAAACCAATTGACCATTCTGTTTACTAATTGACAAGGCTCTATATAATTCGGCCAAAAAAAAAAAGAATCTCCAAGAGGTTCTCTTCCTTGTATAATACAAAGGGAGTGCGTAAACAACGATCAAAACTGTAGACCTCCTACCTTATATAGGAGGTTTCTTATGGATGATGGAACCCTGATTTAGTTTCTGAACTGTTGGATTGTATTGTAGTACAAGTACCAAAACAATAAGAACAAAGATAAATCCAACATTATAAATGCACTCAGCTCGTTGCATACCATGGCTGGGAATCAAATTTTGCCAAATGTCTCTAAGAGAAGACCCATGAGAAGGTACACAAACAAACAGATCATTTACCTCTAAGGGGAGTATCTTCCTGGCTCCAGGTCACCATGACTATTATGGCTTGTCTTTTGACCTTCTTCTACAGCATCCTCAATGTTGTCGAGATGTTGCTTCTTTCCTTCTCCCAACTGTTTTTCACTAGTGCTTTCCATTTTTCTCTTCCGACTAGGCACTGTTGAAGAAACATCATCTACCATTTCACCTTCCTCGGTGTTGCCCACCAAGTTGTTTCCATCAAGAATCTCTCCGTGCTCTGTACCAATCTTCTTCTGATTGTCTCTGGCATCGTCGACAGCTAATTCCACATCTTCCAGTTCTCTTTCTATCAAATCATCCTCATCTATCACATTCTTTTTCTTTGTCTTCTCACCTTGGGACTTCTTAGCCTCTAGATTAGCCCTCACCTTATCTCTAAGCAATTTTATATCTTTCGGGGATTGACTCACCGGGGCATCACCTGAGTTAACAACACTTCTAGATTTATCAAGAGGGACGGTCTCATCTGGAAGATGTGCACCTATTCTCTCGGTTTTGTCCTTCCCATGTGCTGCCTCAACTTGCGTTCTAGACTGATCGGCTTGATGAGTTTCCGTATGCTCGGTAATGACACTACCTGCCTCACCACTCCCATTATCATTGCTCTTGTTTTGCGTAGCTTTTGACGAGCCCCCGGGGTTGTCAGAATTTGAATGTTCATGAGCTGGACGTGCTGATATTGGCCTTGAACCAACTTGATGAGCCGATCCTCCACCTACACTACTTTCGACTTCGCTTACTTGAGTTGCAGGAACACTGTTTTGCTCATAGAGCTCAAGCATTTGATTGCTCACTTCTGAAGTGTACAAAAAGCAGTAGCGGTTAGCATCATATCCCAAAAAAGCACGCAAGTCAAAAATATATGGTGGAAAAAATCTCATAAAATTCCATAAATACAGATGGTAGTCTTACCCTCCAGTTGTCGAGGTGTGACATCAAATTCTTGCCACCAAACCTTCTCCCCATCCGATGGTAATTTCACTTTAAGGAACTTGGCAGCAAGAAAAATTGCACCCGCCGCAATGTGGTGAGGCTTAAATTGCAGGCAGAGTGACGTCCGCAGACTGCAAGCATCTTTTCATTGTATGAAGACGAAAATACAAGGCAGGTAGATCTAACTGAAACAGACTTTTAACGTACCCATCGTTAACAAAATTCCATGCAACTTGGGCCAGAGCATTCTGTGCGACCTTAAATTTCTTTATTGCTTCTACAAGAGGTTTATATGGATGATTAACATTGAAGTCAAACCCCAGTGTAGAAAGTACAATCTTTTCTCCGCTTAGTATAAGCTCTTTCTGTTGCTCATATACTTCCTGCAATAGTCGAATAAGTTCGTTCAGCACACAGAAGAGAACTAATCGATACAGTGACCAAAACAGATGACAGTAACAACGAAAATAAGACTATACATAAACAAAGAACAAGCACAATCTGGAGGTAAGTACGAAATTAATGTCATAGGAAACAGATGATACCGGGCAAACGTGCACATTCACTTAGAGCTAGCTAAACATCACGCAACGGAGAAGAGAAGGTTTTAAAAGAATTGTGACCTTTTGCTTGATTTTCTGTGCAGTAACAGCATCCTTCTTGTGTATTATCTCATAGGAGACAACAATAACATCTTTTAACGGCCTTGGAGTTTCTTCAACTTTTCCAGCAAGGAACATGCATACTGTAGCAATCGTCTGGGCGTAGAGGAAGGAAAACAAGGGGAAAAGGGATCAGCATTATTGGTAATACATAATACTGTTCTGCTCTAGAAAGATACATAAGTACAAAGAAGAACTATATGCAATGATCCCAACTCCCAAGTAGACTAAAAGAACGCTCTTAAATAATATGCATCATGACAGAAACCTTTGATGCAAATCAGAATAAATTCACCAAGTGCATCAGCTAATTTGTTCTCTATGTACACAAAGGATATTAGCAGACACCATTAGCCAGTTTCAAAAAGAATATAGATACTAACCCTTCTGTCATTCCTCGCATGTGACTGGCGAATGAAGAATCGATGGCAGAATATTATTGACGTAGCAATCGTAATCTGAGGACTGAACGAGAATACTATATCAGTCGCATTCACAGAGAGAGAGAGAGCCAAATGTGAAAGCTAACAATGCAGATGAAACTATACATGAAAAGCGATTAACACTACGTATACACCACTATAAACTAAGTTTTGCAGAGCCATTAAAGGACTACTGAAATATATAACACAAGGAGAATATATTCACCTTTTTGTTTGCCAATAACTCCAACTATATTATTCATAAAACGACCTCTACCAAACCAAATCCTATAAATTGTCATGACTAAAGGAACTATCATGTCCTAGACCAAGCTCGCAATAATTTACCAAAAGCCAGGGAGAAAAGAATTCACAATACAAAGTAAGAAAGTGAAACAAATAGGTAACAACGTCATACTTACACTTTCAATTTCATGCCCAAGTCCTGCAGAAACGTACAGTAAGACTTGCGGAGGTACGTTTCCTTCTTCAAGTCAATCTTATCCAACCTCGACGGTGAGTCTTCCTCTATCTCTTTCCTTCCAAAATACCATCGAGAAACCTCGTCCTGATTCTCATTAGGATTCCTGGAATGTGATGAAACGCCACTCTCGTTGTATGAACACTCCCCACCCAAGACTCCAGCCATTGCAATCTTTCTCAAAACTAAGCAAAAAAAACAAAAACTGTGTCAAGCTCGAAAGGGACACAAATCTGAAATTGTTTTACTTCCATGAGGTGAGTGAGATTCTCATACCTGTTAAAATTTGTGTGTGTTGTAGAAACTGAAAGTATGATACTAGGCTTATAGGGTTTTAATCTCTGCGTCAAAAGGGTTGTAATTGGATCAGAAAGGTAATCTCTTTCACCGAATTTGAAATTAACAATTCGTTATGGAGAAATTTCAATTCTTTACAGAAATTTACGAAACTATTTCGAGAATAATTAATTGGGCAAGTTCCAGAAAGGTGAGAAACGTAACATTAGATCCGAAAGATGCACACGATCGTTAAAAAAACGCAAGAGAATCAAGAAACCTAATTGAGGAAGATGAAATTGAAGTCGATGTTTTACGTACCAGGTTAATCGCGAATTGAAGAGGGAGCTAAAGCGTAGAACAGCTGCGTTCGTCAAGCCCTAATCCTAGAGAGAACGAGGGAATAAGGAGGAAAGGGCAAAAAAGGAAGGATTTTCAACAAAATATCTCCCGACATACGAGTGATTTATGTTTTATTTGAGGAAAAGTCGGAACATTTTGATAACTAAAGGACGAAAAAGGAAATATTAGTTAGCGGAAGTAAAGATTTTTCCGTTTTTGTTCTTTTTAAATTGGAAAGGTGACCATTTATGTTGACCCATTTTGATTGATTAATTATCTGAAAACATTCAGTTCAGATAAACCAATGTATAGGCAAGGAAATATCTGTGGGATTCAATTAACTGAATCATAATAATCAAATCCAGAAACTAAATTTATAGCAAAGCTAAACTAAACTATTTTTGGAACTTGACAATGACTTGTTTTGTTCCAGTTTGTAGTTTTGTACAAAGCACACATTTTTAACAAAAAAAAATAAAAGAGTTTGGACATTTCACATTAAAGATGTTAAAAGAACTTTCCCTTGTTCCGTTGTACTTTTACTTTTCCTAGTTTAGATGCAAAACATTCATATATATAATAGCCATTAGAGACACAGAGATTAAAAAGGTCATTTCATTGTTCAACTCCTAAATATCACACCACTACTTAGCCTCTGCAAGACCCATCTGTCTTCAGCTTCTTACGAGCCCTCTCTTCTACTTTGAAGTCTGAGTTTTCAATTCCTCTAGTAGCTTCCTCATCCTTGCTTGAGAAAGAATCTCTCCCACATGAAGCACCATTTGTGTTCTCATTTGTTGCTTGTGGCGTGCTCTCTATCTCAGTAGCCTGAAAAGACACACGGCAACTTCCACATTTCACGTTCTTGTTAACAAAAAGAACCCTTACATACTGCTGTCGCATCCCGCATATGTTGCACATTGTCCAAAAGTTAGTGACTTTTGATGTCGGCTTGTTGCTTCTACCTCTACCAGTACGAGATCCAGTAGAACTTGGCTGGCGTGGTTGTTGTTTCTGTGGGCTCGGTTGTTGTCTCTGCTGCTTTGGTCGTTGCTCCTGCTGGTTTGCAGGTTGTTTCGGGGGCGGTGGTTGTTTGGGCTGCTTTGGTGGTTGCTGCTGCTCATTTTCCTCTTCTTTCTGCTGCTTTGGTGGTTGCTGCTGCTCATTTGCTTCTTTTTTGGGTTGCTTTGGTGGTTGCTGCTGCCCATTTGCTTCTTGTTTGGGCTGCTTTGGTGGTTGCTGCTGCTCTTTTGTCTCTTCTTTGGGCTGCTTTGGTGGTTGTTGCTGCCCATTTGCTTCTTGTTTGGGCTGCTGCTCATTTGCTTCTTGTTTGGCCTGCTTTGGTGGTGCATGCTGCTCATTTGCTGGTTGCTCCTGCCCATTTGCTGGTTGTTTCTGCTTCTTTGTTGGTTGTTTGGGCTGCTTCTTCACTGGTTGTTTAGGCTCCTTTGGTGGCTGCTTCTGCTTCTTTGTAGGTTGCTTAGGCTCCTTAGGTTCTTGCTTCTGCTTCCTACCCTTCCTCGGTTTAACTTCCTTCACCATCACCACCCTCCTCTTCTGATCAAAAGCAATCCGCTTAACCTTATCAGACAACAGAGACCAAGCTTCCAAAATCAACTTAAACGCACCTTCCGCGCCTTCACACTTGTTCTTATCAGGATGAAGCAAAAGCGCCAGCTTCCTATACTGTTTCTTCACTACCCCATCATCAGCCAAGGGATCCACACCAAGAACTCCATACCAATCAGGCTCCCCTCCATTAATCTTGTTACCTGCTGAGATATACACATCGATCAACATCAACACTTGCTTCAAACCATCTAGCTGTGGGTACAGATTCTGAGCCTTGACAGCAAATGTTTTGGCCCCGGTGTAGTCATTTTCTGTAACTTTCCTCTTGGCGATGTCCATTGCCCTTATGGCTTCGTCCTTGTTGCATTCCATAGAGAGATAATCTTCAGACAGAAACTATAAATATCTTTTACCTGTCTCATCAGAAGGAACAAACAGAAAGGTTTAAAAGAATACATGCAAATCACTTAGTTAAAAAAAAAAAACAAGTCTTTAGGATCTCTTGTAAGTAAAAACATATCACCAGTAAGTAGCATATTGATTCAACAAGGGAAAATCATAAAATGCAGAATCTTTTTAGTACTTAAGTAAGCCCTAGAGTTCTGAAGTTACTGTATCTAAAAACGCTACAGAGAATATAACAGAGTGGTGAAAAGACAGATTTTTTGAAGCAGAGAGTATAAGAGAGAAGCAAGAATACACAAAACCCATGAAGAAAAGAAGAGTCTTTGAGAAGCAAAATCAAATCTTTACCGATGAGTAGAAAGACAGATTCTGATGGAGACACAAACTTTCAGTTTAGGATTGTCAGTACTTTCGTTATTAAACTCATTATCTGCTGCAAGATTCGCTTTTTTTCTGAAGAGATTTAATCACGGAGAAGCGAGAAACGGAAGAAGAAGATGAACGAAGAGTCTCGATTATAATGACAACGATTAGGAGATTAATTCCGATTTCGTAAACGTAATTGGGGTAAACGTCAAAGGTTTTGAAACTTGAGGGATTGAAAGTGAAAACATTAGTTAACTTTTCCCTCTCTTCCTTTCCCGCGCCATTTTTCTCTATCTCCCTCTCTCTTTTTTGGTTTCTCGACTTATTTTCTCACACCTCTTTGATGTATTAAGGCCCGGCCCAATACGTTTTTTTGCTAATTCTTGCTTCACAGATAATTTTATAGCTACCGTTCCTCTAAACCATATGCTAGAAAAGGTAGAGCTCAAGGGAAATCTTATGATCATTACGCTTACTATTCTCTGTAATATGTATTTTTTTATGCTAAAAGTACAGAATATATGTAATCACAGACTGAGTTGTAGGAGATGAACAAAAGACGTGTTACTTGCAGAAAGGCTTTCCCATTTATATACCACACTATGTGAAGTAACATGTAATTTGAGTTAGTCAAAAACATGTTTTAATTGATCAGAAACATGTCTTATATGTAACATTTGATAACTTGTACCAGATATATGTCTATCACTGAATGGAAGTTCAATAAATTAAGATGTGCCATTGGTTTCCACAAGAAGGCCTGATGACTGGCCTCTAAAACTATCTACTAAACATTTTTTCTCTGAAGCAACTGATAAACCTGGCTCACATAGGCTGAAGGAGTAATTAATGGACTCAGAGCTTTGCTATATATATAAAAAATCTTGAGATGTTTCAGACAGTATAGACAACAACACAGTTCCAGACCAGGTTTCTTATCCTTCAACCAGTGGTGATCAGCAGCTATTAACAGAATAGAGAAACAAGTTTTTCCCAGTAGATAAGAACATACTCCACTAGGCGAAAATGAGCTCAGAGATATATATGACAAAGAGGAACAAATGTAATTTCTGATAAAAAAAGAACTCATTGACCATGAAAGTAGAAACTTTCTCTACAATATTTTATAACATATATAGAGATGAAAAAACATTCATAACATAACATAAAATAATCCTTCGAAAGAATAAAAAAAGCAGCACTCTGCAGCTTGTACACTTGATAATTATTAACTCTTGACTCCTTAAACCACATCTTTCCTCATCTTCTTGAGAATACTCTCTATACCAGAAACCGTTTCTTGAGAATCCTCAAGTCCTCTTTTAGATCTTTCTTGTGCTTGACTTGCGGCATTTCCGCTATTAGAAGGTACTGACACTGAACACTTATGGTGGACACTACCAGAAGATGATGAAGGAAAATAAGTACCACCACCACTTGTGTTTTTCCCACTCCATTGTTGTTGTTGTTGAGGAGATGATGAGAAGTTGGAGCCTGGCCACACAAAACTTCCAGGTGGAGTTTTCATGGTTGCACCAACAGATGGTGAAGTAGATGAAGGATAATTAGGACCACTACTTGTTGTGTTTTGGGCGCCGCATTGTTGTTGTGATGAAAGGTTGACACCAGGCCACACAAAACTTCCCGGTAGAGTTGTTGCGGTTGCACCAACATATGGTGAAGAAGAAGCTCCATTTTTATATGTGTTTGTTGTTTGGCTTTTACCACTCCCTTGTTGTTGTTGAGGAGACGATGATGAAACGTTCACTGGCCTCACAACACTGGCATGTGGAACTTTCCCGGTTGCACTAACAGAAGGTGTCCCATTAATGTTCCTCACTGCATTCCATTTTTGTAGAAGAGAAGAAAGTGTCGAGTGTACTTGCTGCAAAGCAAACGCATCTTGTGGAGTTGCACCAACATATTGGGAGGAAGTACTTGTGTTGTTGTTTGCTGCTTGATTTTGAGTGATCCACTCTTGTTGTCGTTGGACAACAAGAGACAATGTGTACTTGAGTTGAGTCACATAACTTTCCCATGGATGATTCTTGGTTGCACCAAAGGAAGGGGAAGAAGAAGAAGAAGAAGCTCCGTTTGTGTTTCTGTTGGTTGCTTGATTTTGAGCACCATTGATCCGTTGTTGTTGTTGTCGTTGTCGAATAAAAGCTAGTGCTCTGTTTAAGTTGTTCACATGAAAGTCCCATGGATTATTCTCGGTTGCAATGTAACTCTGTCCACAGTTTTGACAACGCATGGTCTTGTTTAGATAAAGATCCTTTCGACACTCGCTTCGTGTCTTGCATCCATTGCATGTTGTCCAAAACATCTGTTTTGATGAATTAACAGGCCCAGGAGCAGGACCAGGAGCAGGCTTATTACTTCTAGTGTTAGCACTTGGATTGGCACTAGAAGAAGCTGGCTTATGAGAATTTGGTTGCTTCTGCGGCCCACTTGTAGTGTTACCACTTGGATGCACACCGTCTCTACCAGCATTTGGATTGCCACTAGAAGAAGCTGGCTTGGGTGCATAGTGTGGTCTCTGCGGCCCATTTGCAGGCTGGTTACTTCTAGTATTAGCACTTGGGTTCACACCGTTTCTACTAGCACTTTGATTGGTACTAGTAGAAGCTGGCTTGGATGGATTCTGTGGTGGTCTCTGTGGCCCACTTGCAGGCTGGTTACTTCTAGTGTTAGCACTTTGATTGGTACTAGCAGAAGCTGGCTTGGGTGCATACGGTGGTGGTCTCTGCGGCCCACTTGCATTTGGATGATTACTTCTACCGTTAGCATTTGGATGCACGTTAGAAGAGCCTGGAGGCTTGTTGTGTTGGTTTGCTGCAGGTGGTTTCTGCATTCCAGTACTCAACTTCCTCCTCTGATCATAAGCAATCCTCTTAGCCTTGTCAGACAGCAAAGTCCAAGCATTCGAAACCAGCTTAAACGCACCTTCTGCTCCTTGACACTTGTTCTTATCAGGATGAAGCAACAGAGCCAGCTTCTTGTATTGTTTCCTCAAAGCTTCATCATCAGCGAGAGGATCAACACCAAGAACTTCATACAAGTCAGATTCTTTTCCTCCATTGATCTTGTTCTCTGCTGAGATGTAGACATGGATCATCATGGAAACTTGATTCAGACCATCAAGGTTAGGGTATAGGTTTTGAGCCTTGGTGAGAAATTTCTTGGCTCCAACGTAATCATTCTCTGAGAGTTTCTTTTCAGCAATAACCATTGCTCTTTTAGCTTCATCCTTGTTACACTCCATGTCTTTTAAACTAAAGATGGAGACGTTTTAGCACCTATAGAGAAACGAACACAGAGGAGAATCAATGAGATAGGGTTTAGGTCAAAACTTAGCAATGAAACATCTAACGACTTCGATGTTTTGACCTAGAAGTTAAACAGACTGATATATACTGACGAATCAGATTAGGGTTTTGTGAGAATAGAAAAACAATTTTAATAAAATAATGTTCCCACAAGTAGTAGAAGAGGACCAAAGCAAGAGACAAATAGGTTTTTCGTTTAGACGAGTTTCATCATTACCTTTAGAGAGGAGAAAAGCTGTGAGGGAGAGAGACTGAAGATGAAAACTGAAAAATTTCGAAGAGTTTGATTGATATTTATATATTAGTTTCCTTTTATCAGTTACATCTCCAAAGACAAGCGTATTCTTTACTCTTCCCAAATAAAAACACAAATAATAAAAACTTGTTTTGAGAGATGTGTACTCGTTTTGTTTTTCTTATTTCTTTTTTATTACTAGGCCTATCAAACCACAACTCCACATCATCTATTCATCCCTAGGTCCCCTCGCTCTCATAACAAATGTTTTTGTCAACAAAATAACAATAATTTTTTTGGTTAAAGATTACAGCAATTACAATAATTATTATTTTGACGCAATTACAATTACTAGTTTTTCTTTCCTCTTTTTGTCATATAGATTTTGTGCCCTTCCTCATAACATCTGATTCTTTATTTGATTTAAAAAAAAATATTATTAGAGTTAGCCGTTGTTGTATTTTGTTTGTTGTGAAAATAAATGTAATTATTTATATTTTTACTTTCATATTTATATTTATTTGTTAATCTTTAAATATTGTATAGGATAACAAAAAGACTAAAAACCAGAAAATATGATATTATATTCGAAATAATTCTATACTATTTTGAAATTTCTGTAATTTAAGGAAATTTCTGCATAAATCAAATAATTTCTTTAAAAACAAACATTACAAAATCAAAAGGATTCAATAAATTTCTTCTAAGTAAGACTTATGAGAAGTGAACAACACTATATTCGAGCTAAGGCAAAAAAGGAAATACAAATCATATTCGAATCTGAGATCATATACTGAACACAAATATTTGCAAATTGCAAGAGATTGAAGAAGTTTCTAAACTAAAAAAGGTTAAATTAGATGAGTATTAATTAAATTCGCATTTAGAGTTTGTTAGATACTAATTGCGTTAATCAAGGGAATAAAAGATCTCAAAGAATCGGGGATAGTATATTTTTTTTTTTCTCCTAAAATCAATCAAATTTACCGTGTGCCATCATCCAAGTTCAATCTAATTTCATAGTAACTGTAAGAAGTTAGAAACATGGTAGAATTGCACATTATATTCACCATTGTTAAGGCTCTACTAAGAATCTTGAAACTATGACTTTTTTTTCTCCAAAAACTTCTCCTACTCAGTGCCCAAAACCGTTCTTCCAAGCTTCTAAGCTAAACTAAAAAAAAAAAAATATCTAAACCACTACTAGTTCACCACATGAGCACCTGAGTGGTCTGCATCTAGAATCTCACTGTGTTCTACACTGGTGTTGCTATTATAGAGCTTTGACTTCCCATCTCCACTGTTTTGTCATCTTCATCACGCAGCTCCACATCTTCTACTTCTCTTTCAGACAAATCATTCTCCTCCATCGAACCCATTTCTTTTATACCTTCCTCAGTTGTCTTCTTATCTTTCTCTCCTTTACCCTCCACCTCCTCTGGACGCACTTGCAAGTCTTTGCTGATCCCAACATCATCGATTGTCTCAGAAGTTACTATCTGAATAGAATAGCCATCTTGATTCTCACCAGCTTTTCTTTCTGAGTTGGCATTTTCAGTTCCTTCAGGCCTAGACTCATCACCGTGCATCAAATGGTCATTGCTCTGGCTTAGATTGACTTCCGATGGGCCTCCTCCTCCAGTATCAGAACTTGGTGGACATTTATCTGTGGAAGCCACTTCTTTTGAGACAGGTTGATGCACCCTCTCTCCACCGTTACTCCTTTCCACTATGCTTCCTTGAGTTGTAGAAACATGCTTTTTCTCATAAAGTTCAAGCATTTGGCCACGGATATCTGAAAAAAAAAATGAAAAAAATGATAAATAAACCGAATCCTCAAAGTCTAGAGAGACATCAAAGAAAAAGATAACACATACATACCCTCTAGTTGAACAGGTGTGATATCAAACTCTTGAAACAAGCCCTCTCCGTATGATTGTAAGTCCACTGTTAGGTGCTCAGCAGCAAGGAAGAAAGCACCTGCTGCTATTTGACGAGGCTTATATTGCAGGCAGAGTGTCGTCCCGTAACTGCAAAAGACTTGTGATTAAATAAAGAAGAAGAAACACAAGGTCTATAGAGCATTTCAAGCGTTACCAATCGTTGACAAAACTCCATGCAACTTGAGGAAACTGGGCCTTAACCTCTTCAACCTTATATTTCTTAATTGCGTGTATAAGAGGTTCATAAGGGTGACCAATACTGAGATCGAAGTTTAATGTAGAAAGAACTAGCTCCTCTGCGCTTAACACATATTTTTTCTGTTGCTCACATACTTCCTGCAAAAGCGAAATAACATTTATATGCAATACAAAAGGAAACGATTAACAAGGAGGGCTGTAGAATCAGAAGCATAAAGAAACCTTTCTCTGAGCTGCAGGAACATCCTTCTTGTGTATTATCTCATAAGAGACAATAGCAACGTCTTGTAAAACCCGTGGTGTTTCCTCAGCCTTCCCAGCAAGAAACATGCATGCTGTTGCAATTGTCTGATGTAACAAGGCAAAAGGCATAAGTACTAGTTCTTTCTGCTCTAAGAGAATACAACTCAAAGGAACCACAAATACATTAGCCATGCACTCCTATCTAAACCAACAAAACAGAGAGCTTGATCTCTATCACATACGGCATGTCTTTTGAAGAACATCAGGTAGACTCGTCTGATCAATCAACTAGTACACTTTGTCTAGAACTAGCCCAAAAATGACACAGATATGGATATTTAGACTTAATAGGCTAAAAGACTCATAGATTCACTCAAAACAACAACAGAGACTAAATACCACTTTGTTAACGTCCAACTAAACTCACCCATCTGTCATTCTTTACGTGGGATTGACGAAGGAAGAAGCGGTGACAGAATACTATAGCAGTGGCTATCGTTATCTGAGGACTGCGTTAAGAGATTATTATTATTATTATCAGCCACATTCATGAAAAGAACCAAAAAACTGAAAGCTTATTTACATTCAGATGAAACTACATATGTCATTAGCAGCTTTAGCTCTCTCTCCTGCTTTCTCTTCTCTATTAATAAGTATATAAAACCAATGCTAAACTAAAATCTTAAAAGTATCGGCGCCCCTATATGATAGTACTTCTGACAGACTACATACATGTCAAAAGGAGAAATAATCTTTAACTGAAGATGGTGAATCTAAAGGAAGATAGAAACTGTAAGATAGGTTGAAGTAGTCAAACGAAAACTGAAGGTAAAGGAGAAGAGACTCACACTTTCAATCTCACGCCAAGATTTTTGAGAAACCTACAGTAAGACTTGCGTAGGGTAGTCTCCTTTTTCAAAGCCATACCATCTCGTCTTGATGGTGAGTTCGTTTCAATTTCTTTTCTTGAAAAATACCAAACCTCATTATCACGGAGACTCTTGGAGACTGACGAAGCATCGACCTTGTTGTTGGTGCCATTCACGTTATCATGGGGACTGTTGGAGACAGACGAAGCATCGCCCTGGTGGCCAGAGACCTTCACAGGCAACGTTCCATCATCCATTGGGTAGAAGCAAAGGGGCGAAGCGAGAGAGGTGAGATCTTAGAAGACTGTTATAAGGATTCTGAAAACAAGATTACAAAAAAGATTAGAGTTTTAGTTGTAAAGATCAAAACTTGCAATCAAACAATGAGGTCAATGGTGATGACGAAGAACGATCTCTATAGCGTAAGTAAAAAAAAGGAATCAGTTTTGGGAAATTGGGTAGCAAAATTCAAAGAGACTGAAAGAGAAAAGAGGACGAAGAAGAAACCTCTGAATTGGGATGAACGGAAGTAAAGATGGATACTTTCCTCAAAACGAAACCCTAGCGAAAGAGGAGGAGGAAGATTTGAGTCACACCACTGTGTCACTCACTAGCTACCACTCCGCTCCTTATGGGATTTTCTTTCTTTTGGGAGCAAAAAGTGTATACTACTCGGCAAAGCTGATAAACCAATACAATTTAAACACGTGTATCTTCAAATCATTTCAATATAAAAGAGCTTATTAATTAAAAATCACCTTCTCCGAAGTCACTCTAGCTGCGTTCCCCATTCCTAATTTTTTTTTTTTTTTTTTTTTTTGCTAAAATTTGGACCATTCCTAAATTGTTTCTTAGGTAGAATCCAAAATGACCACATCAGTTTTCGTGATAATGATTGAATAGACTTGTTGTTTCTTTGTCTGGTATCGCATCTTTGTAGGAGAACTCTCCAAAGAGAGCTGAGTTAGTGGAACCTGTCATTGTTGGTTGTGACAAAAATGGAAAATTCACAGCAAAACAGTAAAGAATGACTTTCAGGCTTTCTTACATGTCTTATTCTGTTTTATTCATCTACTTCCTATCAAATAAATAAATGCCTTCTTGGGTTACCGGAATTCATTGGAGGCTCCAAGACGAAGGTTTTCTCCTATGTTCAAGACAGAATGAATGGACGTGTAAATAATTGGTCATCGCGTTTGCTGTCTAAAGGAGGAAAAGAAGTTCAGATTAAAGCTGTGGCACAAGCTGTCCCGACATACCCAATGTCGTGTTACTTGATCCCACTAGGCATTACTGATAAGATGAAGAGCACAACCTCAAATTTTTGGTGGAGTTCGAAAGAGAATAGCAGAGGTTTGCATTGGATAACATGGGATAAGATCTGTGCCCCTAAAGATTTAGGGGGACTAAGATTCCGCGATCTCCATGATTTCAACATTGCACTTCTTGCGAAACAACTGTGGAGGTTGATTCACTACCCAAATTCCCTGCTGGCACGTGTTTTGAAAGGAAGGTACTACAAGGATACCTCTCCTCTTGCAGAGCGGCCGGTGTACTCACCATCATATGGGTGGCGTAGCATCATGGCTGCAAAACCTCTACTTACTCTGGGTCTTCGGAAGAGGATTGGTTCGGGTAGTGAAACAAGGATGTGGAGTGAAAATTGGATCCCGGATGTAGTTGCCCGACCACCTAATCCGGCGGACCACATTGTCTACAAGTCACCCCAGCTCCCCGTTCAGGCCCTTATTAGGAATGATACGAGGGAGTGGGATATAAGGCGGTTACGTGAATATTTCCAGCCAGAGGATATTCCTTTGATACTCGGGATTCGACCCTCGTTTTCCTCTGGCCCGGATGGATATATCTGGGACCATACGAAGTCAGGAGTATATTCAGTTAAGACCGGATACGACTTACTTCAAGCCCATAAGATAAGACCCACACAGGACCTGGTTCTGCAACCAAGTATTACAGGCCTTCAGAGTCATGTGTGGAGGATAGAAGCCCCAAACAAGATGAAGCATTTTTTGTGGCAAGCTATCTCGGGCTGTGTGGCAACAGCAGAGGGGCTTTCCTACAGACACTTGGGTAACGATAGGAGCTGTCCTAGATGTGCTAGCCCAGTGGAGTCGATCAACCACCTACTTTTTGAGTGTCCCCCAGCCCTGCAGGTCTGGGTTTTATCGGACTATCCGTCCGTCCCGGGTGGCTTCCCGGGTACATCTATTTATGAAAATATGAACTTCCTTTTTTGGAAGAGGAAAGAGGTGGCTCCTCGGAGACCACAATTCGATATATTTCCATGGATCTGTTGGTTCATTTGGAAGGCGAGAAATGACTTACTTTTCAACGGGAAAGTCGTTTCACCGAGGGATACCCTTCAGCATGCGACTTTAGAAGCAGAATGCTGGAGGAAGGCAAATGTGGAGGAGGAAGCGGAAGAAGTCGAGGTACGTGCTCAAATATCGGTTGTGGATGCCACGATAGATCCCCCTGGGACCCCCCGAACCCTTACCTGCCAAATCGATGCCTCATGGGTCGGTCATGGCAGTGTAAGTGGCTTAGGATGGAGTCTAAAGGGTCATATGGGATCCGAGTGGTTTGGTTTACGAGCGTGCCGGAAGAGCCGTTCAGCCCTACATGCAGAGATGAAAGCTTTACTTTGGGCAGTTGCGTGCTTGAGGGATCTGCGGATCTCCTCGGTTCGGGTCGAAACGGACTGCTCCGACCTGGTGGAAATGGCGACCAACCCGGAGGACTGGCCGGCTTTTGCTACGGAGACTGAGCTGCTACATAATCTACAGGAAAGCTTCGAGGATGTGTGTATTTCCCATATTCCTCGAAGTATAAACGTCAGAGTGGACGCACTAGCTAAAGAAGCAAGAAGGAGAGGTTTTGCTTTCTCCCATATAGATCAGACCAGGCCAGACGGAGATGCTCTTCGGAGGGTCGACTCGTCTGTTCACCACTTGATCTAATTTTTGTGGGCGGCGGACAAAAAAAATAAAAATAAAATAAAATAAATAAATGCCTTACACATTGATCTTCTGATTCACATTGTTCAATCCTCAGCAGATACATTCTTCTCTTATATTCTCAGCAAATCGCAAACATTCTCTATTTGGTACTCTAGCAGCAAGACAAAACTTGGTTTTATATGCCTTGTGTTCTATGATGATCCGCTAGAATGTGGAACGTTAAGTTTCATCTGAATCTCGTTCACTGGATTATCACGTAGCTCCTTGAGTGCATTCACCACGTTGTGAGCTAGATCTTCATAAGCTTTTGATACTACAGAATCAGCTGGTGAAGAAACAACCACAGGTACACCTTCATCAGAACCTTCTCTAATCTTCATTTCCAGTGGAATCTATAACAAACCATCTCGTGTAAGGCCACAAAGAGAATCTACAACACTATAACGCAAAAAAATATAGGTTGTGGTTCCAGATTATTTACCTCACCGATGAGTTTCAAACGCTTCTTTGCAGCCATCCGCCGTGCTCCTTCTTTCCCAAATATGAAGGAAGCTTCGTTACAGTGAGGACAAACGAAACAACTCATGTTCTCCACAAGTCCTAAAATCTAGTAGTATGCATATTCAGAAAGGTTAAGAAGCTAAGACCAAAACATATGCTTCCAAGCACACAAAACAGTAAAAGGGGAAATATAGATGAACGTACAGGTACTCTAACTTTATCAAACATGGAGATTCCTCGATTAGCATCAGCGAGCGCAACATCTTGTGGAGTTGATACAATCACTGCACCTGGAACACATAAGCGCACTCTGAGTAACTACATGACTTCTCTAATCTACCAACAACTCAGATACACACAGACCTGAGAGTTTAAGATTTTGGGATATGGTAATCTGAGCATCACCGGTTCCAGGAGGCATATCAACAACAAGAACATCGAGATCTCCCCAAGCAACTCCTCTTGTCATCTTAGCAAGAGCACTCATTACCTGTAACAACAATACCACAAGCTTGATTGCTGTTGCTGTTGCATAAACTATACAAAGGGTATTTGAAAAGAAACACAGACCATAGGACCTCTCCACACAAGTGGTGCATCTTTCTCTACAAGGAGACCCATTGACATGCATTCAACTCCATAGTTCTTCACTGGAATCATCTTCATATCTTCAAATATACACACACAGTTTTAAAAAAAAAACGCTTATCTGAAATGCAATATGTACCTATTTATATATCTGTCAATACCCCTTACCTTGGTTGACTTGAGGCTTTTGATTGAGATTCATCATGATAGGAACAGATGGCCCATACACATCAGCATCAAGTAATCCAATCTTAAGTCCACATTTGTTGGCCAATGCAACAGCTAAGTTCACTACAAAGACAAACCATTTCAACAATCTCACACCCTTAAAAGTTTTAAGGAGAGAATGATTACAAACACAGGAGGACTACCAGCTGTCGAAGACTTTCCTACTCCGCCTTTACCAGACGCAACGGCTATGATATCTTTGACTCCGTCTAACCGGAGCTCCGTCGTCCTCCCCCCGGCGCTAGCAGAGTTACTCTGCAAAAATGAAACTTTCTTGAACGGAGCTCAAGTTCTGAAGAAAAATCACAAAATGAACTAACGACGAGGTCAATGAGGAGTTTCGTACGAATCTATACGCCGAAGAGACCGAAGCTGCGTGGAGTTGTTTGCGGCGGAGAGACCGAATAAGCCCGACGGTGGTGGTCATGAGAGAGAGAGAGGTCTACGGTGTCTTTCTAACTAGTAAATGAAAGTAAAGTTCTCAGCTCAGAAGGTTCTCTTATTGCTGGTCTTAAAAAGACATTTGAAAGTTGGTAACGTTTGGGTTTTAACTCAAAGCAACAACGTGGACAGGACATACATATATTTTGCTTGAAATTTTCACCTGAACAACATCAAATCATCTTATATAACATCAAGAAAAACTTTGTTTTATCCAATTACATAACGCATAATCCTGGGGGGAGATATCTCCTCCAAACACTTTATTATAGAACCTTGTGGACCAGTGGTTCCATCAAACTCAAACAACTTAACATACATGTCATGCAAAGGGAGAAACAAGATTAAGCTTATCATCAAACTTCAGCAAGATAATTATAGATACAACTCTCCTTTGACAAATCCGAACAGTCTCAAATGCAGCGTCTTCAGGTTCCTATTTCAATGTAAATTGTGTCTTTAGCATAAATTTATGAAAGATACTAAGAGAAGTTCAAGAAAAGATAATCCAATAAGCATTCTACTACCTTTTTACTCCAGCTTTGGAGTAAACACCACTAAGGGGATCTCATCTCTAATTCTACCATTCCTTCTTTCTCCAACTTGTGAGTGAGACAGACCTTTCACTGGCACAAAAGCATCACTTGATGAACAACGCTCAACAATATCTGTAACCCGTGTTCCCTGGAATCCACGGTCGTTCTCATCTGGAGCATATAGCAAACTCATCCCACACCTTATCACCTTGCAGCTTTCTAGTTTCCTTTCAGTGTCATCAGTAAGGTAGAATTCAAATGAGGCGCTGGTGGGACGACATCTATTACTCTCTTCACTCCATTGGAAGACTGGCACTTTGCAGCTGTTATAACTAATGAAAACATGGTCAGATCCTAGTTTCCGTGGTTCATGACAAGATGATCCACAAGACTCTTTCCATCCACCAAGACAGAAACTAAAGCTGATAGAGTGACCGTCTTGATTTTTGAAGTTGCACTTGCATCTTACAGTTAAGCCGTTGGCGTAATAACTTTCATGATCCTCGAAGCTGACAACAACACTTAGGGAAACTCCAATAAATTTACTGTTACACCAGTGTGAAACCAGGTCGGTTTCTAAGGAAGATCCCATTCTCTGATTACAGAACCATGAAGGTATTTCACTTCCTGGAAAGCAAACGGCAACCAGAGGATCTGTAACTTGTCCCTGAAATGGTTTACAATAAAAACCATTAAAGCATGAGCATGGAATTATTAAGGTGTCGCCGGAACAAGAGAGTAAAAATAGAGATGGACCTTATGATGATGTTGAAGAGATGTCGTTGCTAGTAGCTGGCTCTTGAGTTGGGCCTGATCTACAATATTTTCCTGTTCAGCTCGGCTGAGCTTGAAGCAATCCGTGAATATGAAAGTAGTATGCATCTTCTCAGTTACCAAGGGAAGCGTCACTGGTTTGGCAACTTTTTCCAGAGAAGCACACCCATGGGCATCTACATACTTTAGATTAGGTGGAAGCACCGGGAGAGAATTGAGCTTGCGGCAATGTTTCAAGTCAAGTAACAACAGAGAATACAGTTTCTCGATGCTTTCAGGAAGAGTCTCTATACTGTTTCTGCTTAAGCATAGACATCGCAACGAGCGGAAGGAGCTAAAGTTATCCGGCAGTTTGTAGATATTGCAATTCGTGAGATAGAGGTCCCATAAGCAAGAGTTGCCTGAGAAAGGCAACAATACCAACCATGTGGAATCTTTTATGCTAGATCCACAAAATGAAAACAGCTTGAGGTTACTCAAGCAAATCATTTCAGGTGTCTGTCTGATGGATGTTCCATCCATAAGCAAAATCTCTAAGCATTCCATTTCCTCGTTGATGGGTGGAAGACTCTCCAGCGCTGAACAGCCAGAGAGGATCAGTTCTTGAAGAGATTTCAGCTTGTAAAGATCGTTGGGAAGACACTTCAACCTGCGACAGTTCTTGAGATTCAGTAAGATAAGATTGCAAAGACTCTCGATGTGTTCAACGACTTGTTCGATTGCTGAGCCTTCCAAATAAAGAGATTCAATATTTTCTGATATGATTTGAAACTTTTTAAGGTTTGAGCAGCCACTGAGGATCAGAGTCTTTAGAGATTTTAAGTTGATTCCCTCTGGAAGACTCTCTAGGCTTGTGCACTCTCTTAGGTTCAAGTAAGTAAGTTTGTTCATCTGTTCAATTGATGAGCCCAACGCAGCCAAACTCGTACAGCCTTCAAGATCCAGTCGTTCAAGCTTTTTAGCCTTGGACAAACCTAATAAGTTCAGCAAGCCTTTTGAATGACTGAGGTCGACCCATCTTAGATTTTCTACGTTCTGTGAAATGTAGACAGTGATAAAATAACCAATCAGTAGAGAAACGAAATAACCTTTTAAGAAATGCATAGCCGAGTATGTACCTTTTCAGTTTCCCACAGTTGTTTGATGTGGCTATAACGCATATTAAGATAGACAAGTTCTTCTGGATTGAACTCTGATGGCAAGCAACTGTAAGGATAGCCCTGCCAGTGGAGGTACACAAGCTCATCTGGAAAGTGATCAAGCCCTTCGCAGAACTGAAACTTATGGTCATTGTCACACCACTGAGAGCAGTGAGAATTGTGGAATTTCAGGAATTTGAGCTTCGACATCCTCATGAATACGTCAGGGCTCAGTTTGATCTTTTCGACATTAGACATGTTGAAGAAGATGCCTCTAACACATTCTGTTCCCTGGTAAAAAGAGCAAAAAATACATATTTTTAAAAAATACCACAGAGATCAAGATCAAGTGTAGAAATGAACTCACCGTTCTCTGCTCCAGCACATGACGAATATCTTTGTGGTTCCATAATCTGCTGCGTTTGCCTGCCCTTCTGATGGAAGATTCACATCCGATTTCTTTCCCCATTGCATGCATTAGATCATGCATCTCAAGCCGATTATACGAAATGGTCACCAAGCACTTCTCTTCAAGCTCTCTCATCACAGCTGCAGCATTGACACGGTCTGATTTCAAAATGCTCGAAACGAAGTCTGCTTTTTCAGATTTGAAAAAACATGCTATGTCCAGGAATATGCTCCTCTGTTCATCATCCAGTTCTTCATAGCTCCTTTTTAGCTCTTTCTGAATCTCCTTGTCTGGCATTACTCTTAATCTCTCCCACTTCTCCATCCAGTATCTTTTTTCCTTATGGCATAGTCCTGAGCCTAATATTTTCAAAGCTGACGGATGCCCTTTAGCATAATAAACAAATTTGTTTGATAGATCAAGAAATTCTTCCGTGGGGTAGAGGTTTTCAGGAAATGCACCAATGCTGAAAAGCTCCACAGCTTCCCTGTCATTTAACCTGGGAACTAAATATGTTGCATCAGTGTTGTTCTGCAGCAGTTTCTTGTCTCTGGTTGTTATAACAATCCTACTTCCTTTCCGGTACTGCTCCAGCGGTCCGATGAGATCTTTGATTTGGTTTTCTTTGGTCACATTATCCAGCACAATAAACACCTTCTTGTTCCTTAGAAAGTCTTCCAATCTCCCAAGCGCTCTGACATCCAAATCTTCTTCATCCAATAACTTACAGAGGAGTTTCTCACGCAAATGACTTAATGTATGCCACTCCAGCTCCTTGTCAACGTCTTCAAGGAAGTAGTAGCCATCAAACTGACGGTGGTTTCGTTTATACACGCTGTCAGCGACAGTTGTCTTGCCGATTCCAGTCATGCCGAGAACCCCAATGGCACGGACACAATTTTCATTACCAAACATCAGTAACTCCTCCAGTTCCTTTGAACGTGATTCAATCCCCGGGAAACCACTGATCTCACATGGAGACAAATCATTCAGCATCCTGAAAGTTTCCTTGGCTATCTTTTCAACAAATTCACTCTCCGGCCTGCCAATAAATGTCAACCAAGTTTACAGCTTTAGAAAGTTTATAAAAACTGAAACAAAGCAGTGGAAGAACATCAATATTAATAATTCTACTTGCTACCTATCTTCAGGAAGCACAAAGCCTAGTATATTGGAAGCAGCCCTCAGAGCTTCCTTCCAGGCCCCAACTTTCTGCCCATCTCCTTTGAGACTCTCCTTAGGGTTCTTGAAAGGAGCTTCAAAACTCCCTTTCTGATTCTCCACATCAAATTTCTTGACTTTGTAAAAAATGGGTATCACACCATGACCACTTTTCTCCCTGCACTGCATTATCTTCCAGATTTCCTCCAAGCACCAGGTGGAGTTGGCGTAGTTCTCCGAGAAGACAACGATGGACATCTTCGATTGCTCGATTCTCTCAAAGAGAACAGAGAGATCCTGGCCTCGCCGGAGTTTCTCATCAAAGAAAGTATCGATGCCTTTCCTGTGTAAGGACTGACGGAGGTAAGAAGTGAAGGTGTTACGCGTGTCAGCGCCTCGGAAGCTCACAAACACATCGAACTGACGCTTGGAGGAAGGCGAAGCAGAAGCCATTAGACGATGCTGCTTTTGTGTAAGAAGAAGACTCTGAGTCGTTGAAAGCATCTTTTCCACAGAGCTTTATTGTTTTTATTACATCCAGCACAACTTTGTTGACTTTTCCAAAAAGGCCTGAGTTTTTGTCACTCACATTCGTTTGGGAGCAACTTTCCAGTTAAAACCAAGCCCAATCCTTTCTAGTGACACTCGCGCAACAAAGGACATATCCAGAAGAAAACCCACGTAAAATAAGGTTTCTTTGTAGAGAATTCTTGCTTGAGATAGTTATGTCACAGACAGCTTTAGAAGCATATGTATACATCAATCCATTCAAGAGAAGAATGGTAAAACGCTCTGTAGATTAACCATCCCACTCCTTGATGAATATACACATGCTTCAAAAGCCGTTTGTAATTATCTCAAGCAAAAAAAAAAAACGCTTGGTGAAGCAACAGTGTTTCACTGTATTCCAAAAGGCAAGCCGATTCTCAGATATTCAGGGAAAAGCAACACATGTTTCATTTACCACATGAATAGAGGCGTACAAAGCTTCAGACCCAATAGCCTTATTTATAGGCAGAAGTTACTTAAGGATATCAGGATATGGCTATTGTGGCTTAGGAAATTCACTATTGTGGCTTAGGAAATTCACTGCTTGCTATGTTACAGATTATGGTTTCCTTATTGTCATAATGGAAACAGTGAATTTACTAAGCCACAACAGCCATGTTCTAACACTGTAATGTTTAATACCAGATCTTAGGGTCCGCGCACTCGCAAGTAGAAAGTAGATCTTTTATAAGGGTTCTGATTCGATGATCTTCCAATCTAAAACAGTGGTGGTCAATTTAGCCACGCAAGCGGCATCTCTATCGCAATACCAACTTGGACATGAATGCTCTTAGATACAAAGGGATGATATCACACATAATATTGGCTCCAACTTACATCGATTATAAAGAAACTGAATGTAGCTGGATACCTGGTTAATACATGGAGTACTTATCCATTCATCTCTCCTTCATCCTCTGCCCAGATCCTTGCTCCTCTCAGTCTATATCGTTTCCGCATTGAAACACATCTGGTTTCATCTTGATAGACCTCACACTTCCTTACAAATTCACGCTTCCAATTCCATCGCGCTTCCAAACTCACCTTTTCCGCTTCCCAAGCTCAAGAGCTGTGCAGCCAGACAGCTTAAGATTGACAATAGATCTCGAATTCCTAACTCCGGAAGGCAGTTTCTGAAGCCTTAAGCAGTTCTCCAGATCCAGCGTACTAAGTTCACTGAGATTATCCACTGAGAATGGAAGTTCCCTTATGGCAGTCCCAGCCAGATATAGCTCTTCCAGGCTTGGTGAAAAATCCTGAATATCCTCAACCTCTGAGCAGCCAGACAAATTAAGACGCTTGAGAGAAGTTAGATCGACCATGGAAGGTAGACTTCGCAAATGACAACAGTCTTTCATATTCAACGAAACAAGCATCCTAAGATGAGTAATAGATGTGCTAACATCAATCAGACTCGTACACCCTTCGAGATCAATATGTTCAAGGTTCATGGCTTCTGATAACATCCGGACATCAGTTAATTTTCTGGAGTGACTCAGTTTGATTTTCTTTAGCTTCTCGAGATTCTGTTTACAGTATAAAGTAACTAACGATGAGTCATCAGATGGCAAAGCTTGAGAATATAATGTAAGTAGCTTAGAATACCATAACATGTCAATACTTACTTTCTTCCCTTCCCATAGCTTCTCCATGTTGCTATACGGCATGTTTATCTCCACAAGGTTCTCCGGAATAAATTTCTGAGGCAAGTATCCCAGAGGGAAATGCTCCCAGTGAAGTAGCCTTAGCTCATCCGGAAAAGTGTCGAGGCCTTGTGGTAGGCTTAGCTTGCACTGATTCCCAGAGGTGTTGGAACAATAAAACTTCAGCAATCTAAGTCTATACATATTGCTAAACACAGTAGGACTTAATTCACAGGTTAAGTCAGACGCATCCAGGAAGATTCCCTCAATCGCTTCTGTTCCCTGACGAAGACAATCACATAAGTAGGGTAACTTTAGCGTTATAAACGATAACTATAAATTTATCTGGAGTAATAAAAGAAATAAACACATGTCAACTTACTGAATTGTTTGTCAACACGTCAATGATGTCGTTAGCGTCCCACAATCTGCTACGTTCGCATGGATGCATGTCTTCTTCATGAACAATAAATCGACCAATGTCTTGAAAAGGAATAGGAATTTCTATTTTGTTATCCAGAAGGCTAATGAGAGACTCGTCAATGAGATCACAGATTCCCAAATATGTAAAAAACCCGCAAGCGTCTAGTAATTTCACCACATGATCTTTGTTCTCCCCTCTTAAAAAACATGCAAGGTCCAAAAATATGTTCTTTGCGTTTTCGTCAAGTCCATCAAAGCTTCTGCGAAATGCTTCCTGAATCTTGGTTGGAGGGTTTATCCGCAAGCTTTGGAGATGTTTCTTCATATCGTCCATATGCTGCTTTGATACAGAGGAAACCAAAACTTTGAGAGCCAGTGGTATACCGCTACTGCATCTCATTAGCTCGGACATGATGGCACTTTTTTCTTTTAAATATCGTTTGCAGAGACGAAAAGATTCAAACTCGTACAACTGTTGCATCTCGTAGGGCTCTTTAACCTTACACTGCACAAGAACTTGTTTACTCCTAGAGGTTAAAATGATTCGGTGTCCACGAGAAAACCAGCTAAACCCTCCAACTACATATTCTGCATCTCTTGCATTACTCACGTCATCGAGAACAATGAGAATCGCTCTATTCTGAAACCAGTCCCTCATGAAACTCGGTTTTGTATCAGAAGCGCCTATTAATGGTTTTTCTTCTCTAAATACTTTAGAGAGAAAATCATCACGTATTTGCCTCAACCCTTTGCTCTGACACATACGATGAAAGTCTTGCAGAAAGTAGCACAAATCATATTGTGGAGCTAGTATTTCAAAAACTTCTCTAGCAATGGATGTCTTACCTATTCCTGCCATGCCCCAGATTCCTTCAATTTCCGCATCTAAGGGCAGGGGGTGATTTAACAATGCTAAGATTCTAACCAGGTTCTTGCTATTTTTCAAATCTAGCCTGAAGCATGTGTTCCTTACAACTTTCTTGGCAAGCATAAACTGACTCCTGGAAAAAAAAAAACACAATAGAAATTCGAATTAGCGACACATTGATAAGATAACTCTGAATATTCCAAAATGTTACCAGGCACTTGGATATTTTCTATAAAAAATTTCAGAAAACATGTCCCATACTGTACATTGTACAAATACTAAGAGACATCTAGGAAAAGTCAATTTACCCCATTGACCATTGATGTCCATCAATGGATGCCAATTTAGTCAGAGCCGCCTTCCATTTCTGAATTCTGTCTGCATGGACAGAAACCGAAAACGACGGAAGTATTTGTTCAAAGCGGCCTTCCCACACACATATGTCTGCAGGTGTTACCTTGAGATATACAGGAATAATTACAAGGTGTTTTGCTTTCCAATGTTCCATGATTGCCCCCAAATGATCCAGAGACTGACTACTATAAGCAAAACTATTTGAAACTACCATAATACCAACACTGGATCTGTAAAGCATCTCGTGTAAAGCATCCCCATCTAGGTTCTCTCTCTGAGATAGATTATATGTCAAAGTAGTGACCCCTTGCTCGTGTAAATCTTTCAAGATGGCTTCAATGAAATGTGTCTCGTCTACATCAAGGTTGTCATTGCACGAAAAAAACAAAACGCGTTCTGCTTGTCGAGTCATCTCCCTCGCCTCCTTCATGTATGTTATAACAGCAAGGCTGCGGAAAGGATTTTCCTTTGGTGTTATGCCGTAAGCCTCACAAGCAGCACGGAGGTGGCCAACAAGGGCCTCTGCGTTGCCTGGAGTCATGTAGAGAAAATCAATGGCGTCTTTGGCTGTGCACCCAGAGAGAGTCAATGGACGCTTGCGTTGGTTAAGGAACTCGCAGAAGAAGTACCAAGCATCATTTAGATTCCTCACGTTAGGTGGTGTGATGATGGATTTTCCTGAAACAACTGGACTGTTGATCACTGAGCATGAGCCGCCTGAACCTGTGGTTGATCGCAGACTTTGCTCACTAGTGAGTACCTCTCCCATAGAAACATCCGCTTCCAAAACACTCTTTTGATCTCCTTTCTTTAGTTGCTCACTGACACTTTCTTTCTTTGGCTCGACCATCATCGAGGGCTCACCTGAAACTTCTTCTTTTTTCACATTGCAATACCTTCCCACCTTTTCTAGTACCATATTTAATTCAATGTCTCCTTTGATGGTTAACGCGCCTGTCTCCGGATCCAGGGATATATAATTGATTCCTAACCGTGAAAGCAAATAGAAGAAGGCAACTCAGAACATTAAGAGACAAGACAGGGAAGCAAAGTAGTACTATTATCAAATACAACATCTTTAACATAAATATTGACTAAACCGTTTCGATACTACAAGCTCCTTACAGAAAAGTATGAAGTAAATGAAAATAATAATAGTTCCAAAATGGCAAATCACAACTACAATTTGCGAGCAAGGAAAATGCACAACGCTTAATCTTACAAGAAAAGATAACGCATATCAAAGAAGCGTCAGTGATTGTTCATCTCTGTATCACTCAGTGTTCTACAAAATCGGTCTGGACGCCTCGGGTATGAGGAAACAAATTTTTAAAGCCGATTTTAAAAAAAAAAATAGGTGTTCAAAAAACCGGCCTAACCAATAATCCTCTACAGCCTAACCACCGCCTCGCTATTTTTAGAACATTTGGTATCACTTTTAAGAGCATGTATTGTCACAAAACCAAAGTAGAGCAAGAAAAGCATTTTGTAAATTACCACTGAGTGCAGCAAGTTTCTTCATGACCTTCGTCTGCATGGACTTATCACCGCCTATGTCCAGTTCCAAAACTATCTGCACAGATTCAATTTCAAGATTGGTGAAAATGAAAATAGAAATGTCTCAACAGAACTAGGAAAAGAACAGACCTTGGAACTCTTTTCAGGTTCCTTAGGCAATGCATTAGTCACATCGCTGATGAGACTACTACTACTACTACTCGGCCTACGAAACTCCGGTTGCATCGATCTCGAGGACAAGGGGGCGGAGAAAGCTGTTCCAGTGGAAGCGCCGAAGAGAGGCATCGATCTCGAGGACAAGGGGGCGGAGAGAGCCGATCCAGTGCTTCGGAGCGAGACGTTTAGAGAGGAGAAGTTCGCGGGGATGGTTCCGGTGCCAGTAGCGGCGACAACGGCCGGTTCAGCTTGCTGGAGAAGCCACTCGATGGTTTCTCCGTCGGAACTATGACCGAGCTCTCTGGTTAGCTGAAAAAGCCTGGCGGCGCAGATAGCCGGCATCCTGATTCGCCGTGCTCCGGAAGTGGTAGTAGTAGTCGTCGCCGGGGAGGATGAGGTGGTTGCGAAAGTGACGGTTTTTTGAGGAGTGGGTTTGGAGAGGGTTGAAAGAGAAGGATCAAATAACCCACTCCATTTGATCCTTTTGGCCTCGAAGTCGTCTTCGTCGGAGAGATTCATTTTTGATAAGGAGAAAAATTTGAAGAATTAGGGATTGGAGAAAAGGAGAGAAAAGGGCATTGATTGTTGTCTGTTGGAAAGTATTCTGTATCACCCTAGTTACAAAAAATATATTCTTACTACCCTCACTTTTTATCTCATTACCCCCACTTTTTTCCCCTTTACCTTTTTATCCTTTCTTTTTCTTTTCTATTTTTATCTTTATTTCCTAAAATTATGAGACCCACAATTTTATTTTATTTTACTTTTTCGTGTGGGTCACCAAATTTTTCTTTGGATTAGAATTTTTTTTATCAAATTTATTTAAGCTAGATATTTATTTTTAAAAAAACTAACTAATTTTTTTATTAATAACGAAAAATTATGAAAACAAAATAAAAATTTTCTGTATATATTAAAATATTATTTTTTAAATAATAAAATAAAATAATAATTTTTTTAATATTTTAACAAACAATTAATTTTAATTTTTTACAAAATATCTATAAATTACTTTTCCTAAATTAAAAATTTATCTGTTTTATATAAAATTTACTAAATTTAAAAGAAAATATTTTTCTCTTTTTAATCAAAAATTAATTTCAAAAATATTTATATAAATCGTTTCATTAATATTTCAAAAATACACTTTAATAAAATATGTATTTTTTATTTTTTGTCACTGGTTTTTTCATGGTAATAAAAGATATTTAAATCAATAATTAATATCAAAAATAAATATGATATTTATGAAAATATGTTTTTAATTTTGGTTATATAAAAATATTATAAATAATAAAATTAATAATATATGTACTTCAAGATATTTTAATCAAAACTAAATTAAAAAAAATATTTCTATAAATTCTAATTTTTTAAAATTATTCCTTTTTAACTGGATTTAATTAAAAATATTTAAAATATATAAATTTAGTAAAATATATATTTTAATAGTCACAATTATAGTTTTAAAATTAATGTAATAAAAATTTAAATAATTTAATTTTTCTAAGTTAGAATTATTTTGTTCACATAAACTTTACAAGTTTAAAATATTTTATTCATTTATTTTTATGTTTTATGAACTACTAAGAACTACCTTGTACTACTTTGAATTACCTTGGAATACCTTGGAACTACTATGTATTAGGCGTACTTCTAAGAATCTTACTTTTCGTCTTAATAATTATTTTTAGAAGATGTATCTCATATACTACGAGATTATATATACATATTTGTGTTTATTTGTCAAATTAGACATAAAGAAACTTTTAATTTCTCAAGTTGATAGAAAACTTCTCATTTCCATAGAAAACATCTTTATACTTCTATATCTAACATCTTGATGGAAAGACCATAATGACATGAATAATAGAAAATACATATTTTCTGAGTTTTTTTTCCGCCATTGTGTTATATACAATGTAAAACTATCTAAATACATTGGTATTACTAATAAATTTGATTTTTTAATGTGGTATTACTAAAAATTGCTGAAATTAGCAAAAATATTACTATGATGAATGAAATATCACTACAACCTTGAGTACTACTAAGTGTAAATATTCAAACAAGTGTTCTCTCTTTTTTTATAAAATGTAGTAGTACAATTTTTTTAGACATAGCTTACCTTAATAACATGTGTTAAATATATTATAAACGTTTTAGACATATTTGAAACTTTTTTTATTTATCTTAGTAATACCTAGTAAAACTAGTAGTTCAAATACAATACTAGTTTATGGTATATATGTTTAAAATGTATGATTTTTTACTTCACTTAGTTATAAAATAATACTAGTTTATGGTATATATGTTTAAAATGTATGATTTATAATTAAAAATTATAAAAAATATAAGTTCTTAAAGAAAAACTCGCAATCTATACGACCAACAAAAGCATTTTTTTGTTGCTAATATCTAATTCAAACCCTAACAAATGATAAAATTCGATTAGATTTTTTCTACGTTCAAAACTTTGCTAGGAGTTAATGAAAAATTAAATTTTCAAAGATTAATAGAGGACTAATAATAGGATTTTATTTTATTTTTAAAATAACGTATATATGAAAGGTAATTATATAAATTGACCAAAGAGATAACACGTGGTCTGGTGGTATGTTCCTAGCTTGTTATCTTGCCAGCCCTGGGTTTAATTTTTCATTTTGTTGGTTTGGCTTATTTTATTTTCAAATAAAAGTATATACAAAATTTAGTTTATGCAAATATCACAAAGTATCTTGCAGTCTGGTGGTATTCTCCTTGTTTCTAATCAAAGAAGTTCCCGGGTTCGATTCTAGGTTTTTTTTTCTTTCTATATTATTAATGAATGGCAGTTTCGTAATTATCTCTTCTTCTTCCTATTAGGGTTTTGTCGATTCTGTGATTTTTTCCTGCGGCCGCCATGGATTTTCTTCAACGGATCTTCAATTTTTATGGGTTTTAATTATTGTTTACACCTTACAAATATCTTTATCAATACTCATCGATTTTGACTTTCAAATAGCGAAAACAAACATTTTTTTGTTATACTCCATGGCAGGAGTTATATAGAACAGAGAGGAAACACGAATTCATGGGTTTTTATCACCGGTGAAACATCTCACAGTAAGAGAGAAGTGATTCAGAGTTAATTTTGAATAGGAAAACAAAGAAATTTTTTTTTCTGTCGATTAGGATTGCAGCAAAAAAAAAAAGGGAAAATGTAAGGATTGGGGAATTGTAATTTTGACTAAAGGGAAAAAGTAAATACTTGGAACAAATTAGAGGGTTTAGGTTAGGTTTGGTTGTAGTTTTGTAGATTCATCAAGGGTGGTTTTGTATTTACGTACATTTCTGTAATTAAAAGAAAAAGAAAATTAAATAATTTATTAGAAGGGACAAATTAGAATAGCGATGGGAGTGACTGGGGTAAGGAAGAATACGACTCGTGTTTATTTGTGTCATCCGAGAGAGACGAGACGGGAAAAAAAAGGGGGTTTGGTGATTTTTAAAGTTGGTGAACACTTTTTTAAACAAACTAAAAATGATTCTTATTTGGTAAAATTAAAATATAAATCAATGAATTATAAATATTGTTTTGAAATTTTTTATAAATATTATATGTTGTTTTGTTATTGTATGTTTATTATCTACGTATAAAATTTTAAAGTTTGTAATTAATTATTATTATTATTATTATTATTTATAATTAAATTTAATATACATCTATATTTAAATTTTATTGTTAGATTAGGCCATCTATAAACTTTCATTTTGAGTAAAATGTTACGAAATTGTTCAAGTACATATATATATAATATTTCTATTTTACATAATATTATTTCATTAATAATTTTGATTTTGTTTATATATTTTATGTACAGATGTAAAGATATATTGGAGTATTTAAATTAAATAAATTTTATAAAAATTAAAATGATACATAAACTAATATTAGTAGAATTTTATGTAAGTTACACAGTTGTAAAGTATTTTAAGAGAATATTTGTGATTAAATATTGAAACCCTCAAGACAAACTTTATTTATAAAAATGAAAACATTCAATACAATCCCTTTTAAACGTCTCTGCCACTGAAAAGAAAGAAATATACACGTCTAAGTCTACTGCCTCTCTTTATAACTGGTACCCCTCTTACAACTCGCATATGAAGAGGGTAAAAGAAAGCAACATTGAGGTAACCTGAAGGGAAAATTGCCAAATATGACTCAAAACTTGATTTGAAATACAAAAGTAAACCCAAACTTGAATCAAATGCAAAAGTAACTTTAAAGGCTACTGAAATTACAACCAACCCCTTGTGAACAAACAAAAAAATGGTATTTTTTTTTACGTTTCTAGCCCTCGTAAGTCGTCTGCCCAGACGACTTAACTTAAAGTCGTCCAGACGACTTAACTTAAAGTCGTCCAGACGACTTAATTTAAAGTCGTCTGGGACAGTTTTTCTTAAAAATAATTTAAAAATTCTGTAATAAATATCTTGATAAATGAAAAATTGGGATTATGTAATTAACATATGTCTTAAGAGATATAAATTAAGATATAACAAAAGTTAGTT